GGACATTGTATCACACACATTCCTGTGCCATTTATGTGTTTTAATTGTCTGACTATTTTCCGCAAACATAGTGAGACTGAAAAGTTCTTGAGCTACGATAGTCGTCACTGCATAATGGTGGCTTATTTATTCATTCGTTCATCTTCAGTAATCGATTTATCCTGATCAGGGTCATGGTGGATCTGGAAGCTATCCCAGGAACGCCGGGTGTGAATGCACTCTGTATTTTATTAAAGTGCAGTGAAACTCTTTTGGTTCTAAACTGGCTGAATAACTGCAATAAGCATCTGTAATTTCAAGAGTAAATAAATTGTAAGAACCATGTTATAGATTGAGAGATTTTCAGATATCATTACTCTGGATATCAATGATGAAGCAGCTCTAACTGTAACCCAGATAAACAGCAATTATAGACCTCAAGCAGGAATTTCTAAACACTGCGTGATTCTGTTCCCTCCCTCTGACAGCCTTATTTTCATCGGTGGTGCGGTGGATCTGGAAACATCTGACTTTGCCCACACGGCTGGAATTTACTTCAGACTCGCTCTTAAGGTAAATGACATGCAAGCGGTCGGCTCTTATTGGTGAGTCGAGTCAAATGATCTGACTCAGTGAAAAAAGTCGGAATTTCCATCAGTAACACTTCAAACTTCCTCATAAAAGTTTTTTTTAATCATCTTACATAATTTTGCTTTGTTTGATTAAGTAAACATAATTCATTAGATAATTGTCCAGATTTCGTTTGTATTGGAGCTGGTGAATTGAATCAGAAGCTTTCCACTGATATGGTTAACAGTTTATTTATTTATTTATTTATTTATTTATGTAATTAGTTCCAGTAGTTCCTATTATCTGTAGCTACGGCATTGTGGCTATTTCAGGGACTAGTTGTTGCATCAGTGTTTTATATACGTATATACATATATGTGTGTGTGTGTGTGTATATATATATATATATATGTATTTATATATGCACTGTATATCGTACTGATCTTTAACTTCTGCTCATTATTTCCAGCTCGTCAGCTGTTAAAAAAAGGGAAATGAGTCCAGCAGTTTCACTGTATTGCTTCCTATCAGTGTGAGTGACACTTCTGAATCTGCTTCACTTTTCTTTCAGGCCAATGACGAGGGCGACTACTTCCCCATCTGGGGAACGTGTCTGGGCTTCCAGCTTCTCACGGTACAGGTGGCTGGAGAGAACCTGCTGAGCAAAACCATGGCAGACAACATCTCAATGCCCTTAAACCTCACCTCAGGTACACAGTAAAAAAAAATGTTGTACTTGAGACTGGCGCAACAGGAAAGTGCCAGAGATTCAAATCCTGACAAATGCATGAGCTCATGACCAGCCACGATTGGCTAGAGTCGCTGTGATTGACAGTCGGCTGTGCTCTCTGGGTGGGAGGGGCATACTTTCTCTTCCTTGTCAATCACAGCGACACTGTGCCAATCAGGGGCATCTGTGACCTCATGTATGTGTAAGAGGGCAGACAGCACTTTCCTGGCTTCTTGAAGGGTTTCTTATTCTTTTGTTCTTAAATATGATACAGAATCTCCTCATATTGCATCTCTTGAAATCCTAATTCCAAGTTTAAACTCTTTAACAGAGGCCCAGTCCAGCCGCATGTTTGCGAGTTTTCCTCCAGAGCTGTTCAAGGCGCTATCAGGGGAACCGCTCACGGGAAATTTCCACCATTACGGAGTGACAGAGCAGGTGCACGACTCGAGCAGCATAAAGTAGCATTTACATGGTTGCACATTTGCATCGTTTTAATCATAATTCTGGGTGTTTCAGGTGTTTGTAGGAAATGAGAAACTGAGTAGCTTCTTTACCATATTGTCCACGAACAAGGCGGAGAACGGAGCTGTCTTCGTCTCGACCATGGAAGGTATAAAGCACAGAATCATGTTTAAGTTTTTTTAATGACTGACAACCACATGGCCATGGGGTGTATCATGGAAATTATGTGCATAGTTATCTTCAAGGAAATGTTTTCTACTGTTCTGATTGGTCCACAGGGAAGAAGTACCCGTTCTACGGCGTTCAGTGGCATCCAGAAGTGAATCGTTTCCAGTGGCATCCTCAGTACAGTTTTCCTCATTCCAAAAATGCCGTCCATGTGTCCTCACTACTGGCCCAGTTCCTTGTGAATGAAGGTGACTTCTATCTATCTATCTATCTATCTATCTATCTGTCGGCCTGTTTGTCTCTCTATGTATCTATGTGTCTGCCTGTCTCTCTCTCTGTCTGTCTGTCTATCTGTCTGTCTGTCTGTCTATCTGTCAGTCTGCCTGCATGTCTGTCTGTCTGTCTGCCTCCTTGCTTTCTGTCTGTCTGTTTATTTATTTATTGTAACTCACTCTGGTTGAGAGCATCTGCTAAATAATTAAATATCATCTGTCTGTCTGCTTGTCTGTCTGTTTTGTTGTATATATATATATTTTTTTACATTATATATTAGCTTGTCTTCACCCCCCCCCGTCTCTCTCTCTCTCTCTCTCTCTCTCTCTCTCTCTCTCTCTCTCTGCATCTCTCTCTTTGTCTGTCTCTCCGCAGGAAGGAGAAGCTCTCACCACTTCAGTCGTCCGGAGGAGGAGAGTCAAGCGCTCATATACAACTATAATCCTGTTTACACAGCAAAATTTAGCTCATATGAGCAAGTCTACTTCTTCTAAATGAAAAACTTTTTCAAGTTCACACCCAGTCCTCATTCTCGTTTTTATATGTGTAACTGTTCTTTTCTGGGTTTCATTAATCCATTAGAAATATAATTATTTTATTTTCCTTGTCATTGTATTAAAAATGCAGAATGTTGTTATGCCTTTATATGAAGAGATCAGGTGCTTTTCTTTCTGATAAAATAGAATTAACATACAAACTGAATGGACTTCAGTGTCACTTAGGTTATGTGAGTATAGATATGAACTGTTCTTTCCATGTGCATACGATTATCCTGTCACATCTGCACTTTTTTCACATTCCTACTATATGGGGGAAAAAAAACAGGGTTATCTTTCCTGCTTTACCAGAGGAGGGCAGCATTTAGCTTGCAAAGGGGAATAAAAAGTACCTCAGTAACACACTCATCTCAGCAGCTCATGGACCTGTGCCATGCAGTGCATGGACTTGAGATACATTTCTATAATACACAATATGTTTAAGGATATAAAGCTTTAACCAAATTCCAGCACAACAGTAATGCTGCTTTAAAAAATGTGAAAAACTGATTTCATTATACTAATGTCTACAAAAAATAAATAATAAATAAAAATAAAATTATAAATAAATAAATATTTAATTTCTAGCAATTTAATTGTACAACTTTGAAGATGCTGTGCAAAATTTTAACTGTCCTATCAGCTGATTTCAATTATTGATTTAAAAAAATGTTATTTAAAAAATTGTAATATCCACAATATCTTCGAAAAGTCCATGATGACATGATTTATCACAATATCAAAATGATATTGTCATATTGCCCAGGCCTGGGCGCTATCTATTTTCTCACTTCTGCTTAAAAGAACAATTTATTCAAAAATGACATTTCTTTACTCACTCAAAATGTAGTCGATCAGCCAGGACATATTCAGTGTCTGAATGTTGAATCATGATTTTGGCACTTGAGCGACAATGCAGTGGAGAAATAATGGAAATGTATCTCTCACAAAATCTTTTCCATAAACATATGCCCAAAATCTTCATATACTTGCTTTAAATGACAACATTACACTAAATAATCACATTTTAAACATATTATTTTATAAAATTTCAGAAACTGTGTGTGTGTGTGTGTATTCTGTAGTTTTGTACAACATTAAGCTTTGTATTTAATCAGCTACAAGTAACTATGATGCTATATATGTGTGTGTATATATATATATATATATATATATATATATATATATATATATATATATATATATATATATATATTATGCATTTATATGTATGCTATATATGCATAATGTATTGGCCCCCCTCTACCCTGTTCATTAAGGTAAAGGGGGTGTATTATTTAGGTAGAGGATGACTAACACACTAGTTTCTAATTGTACACCTACAATGTGGACCAACTAGACCACGTTTTGTGTAATAAAGTGCAGTAAGTGTTTAACACACTGTTAGAAAACACTGTACCTGTATACCTGATACACTTGTACCAGAAACACACCCACACCGCCATATGAGTGTCACCTCAGCATTGGTCCTAAATTGACACAGAGCTGTTTCTTGCTATAAGCAGTGTAAGTGGTCACTTAGGACCCCAGACCGCTAGAGAGCCCCATGAGTTTTAAAATAGATACGCGAAAAAGCACTCTTTAGTATAATTTGTCGAAAAGGTTTGTGTATCAAGCAGTCGCAGGAGAGTCCACTGTGGTGTGAAATGAGTAGAAACTGAAATTTACTAAATGAAATAAATTAAGTAACAAATGTCAGAAGAAGCGGCGATCATGAAGCATTCATATCTATCTGGGGCAGGAAATGCAAAAAGAGCAGAAGAAAAATTAAAATTAAAAAAATAAAATTAAAGAAATTAATGCGAATTAACTGGATTTAGTCAGTTAATCTGCATTCTTCTGCTTGTTGATGTAATTAAAATGAAAAAGATGTCATGGCTAACTAGCTAGTTTGCTAGTATCTAGAGTAAGAAGTCTTAGGCTAACACTTAGTTATTTTTCTTTGCCTTAATTTTTAATACATATTTCATCCATCCATCCATTTTCTGTACCACATATCCTACACAGGGTTGCGGAGAGCCTGGAGCCAATCCCAGGGAGACTCGGGGCACAAGGCGGTGGAAACCCTGGTCGGGGTGCCAACGCATTGCAGGGCACAATCGCATACACACTCACACACACCCATTCACACACTGTGGACAATTTACAGATGCCAATCAGCCTACAGCGCATGTCTTTGGACTGAGGGAGGAAACCGGAGTACCCGGAGGAAACCTCCGAAGCACGGGGAGAACATGCAAACTCCACATACGCACACAGGGCAGAGGTGGGAATCGAACCCCAACCCCAGAGGTGCGAGGTGCTAACCACTAAGCCACCGTGTCCCCTTACGTATTTCATTTCAATATTTATTTTATTAATATAATTCACTTATTTAGAGATATGAATCCTTGTGTATATAGTATTTCGTTCAGTTGTTCACTAGTTTTTATCTTATTGTTTATTAAACTGTTAAAAATCACTTCACACTTTATTTGTTCAGTGAACTGCATGTGCATTATGGGTATTCTGTGCATTTTTGGTACATTAATCGACTGCAGTGTATTGTGGGATTTTTATGAGTGTGATAGTTACTCTGACATGGCTACAAGACTTCTCCAGTAAGGAGTAAGGCTTGTGCGTTTGCGCATGCGCGTGGTTTGTGACACACTTTCCGAATCGACTCGCTTGAAAGAGTCGTTCAAACCGAAACGATTCCTCATGGATTCACTGCTTCTGGCGCGGATGCCAGCGTGTTTTTTTTTTTCCCCCCATGGAGGATTGAGATCAAACCCTGAACAGCAGAGATGTTAGCAATTCAAAAGCAAGCCCAAGTGACCGCAGGCGTGTGGGAAAGGATCTGATCTGATCTGATCTGATCTAATCTGGTTAGATCTGATGTGTCTTTGTGGTTTTTTTATCAGTGCAATGTGATGCTGGGAGCGCAAACTTCAAGCACAAACACAGCTGTTTGGACTTCTGGTGTAAAAATGAGCGTGGATGCGATGGACAGCTGGTCACATCTGGATAGATTGGTGGAGAGAGAGAATAAAAGACGAAGTCGCGCTGTGGAAACAATATAAACACAGAGCTGCTGTGGCAGGGATCAACTGATGCAACCATTCCAGTGGTGTAACGGTAAGATCTAATCAGCACCATCCCTCTGTGCTTCTGTCTTTCCTGTCCTTCTGTCCATCTGCCCTTGTCTTTTTACCATTTTGAGGCATTTCCCTGATGCACTCAGTCCAAACTAAAGATATGATGCATGATGATGATGATGATGATGCATAAGGATGATTGACAAGCCCTTGGAGTCAGACAGATGTTTGTGCAGTGGTGGTCATCACTCCTCCTGCAGAGTTTATCTCCTCACCCGAAAAGCCTGATCCGGTTAATCCAGACCGGATGGAGAACTGGTCCTAGGGATGCCCCAATCCCTTTCCCAAGGGAAAGATCTGCTTGATATCTGATCTATCTGACACGGATAGATCTAATCATCCAACGCTTATCAAGCTTCCAATTTATTTGAATTATCACAGGTGGCATCGAAGACAATTTGTGTCCAGGTTAAAGGAAAGTGGGAATCCTGGAAATGATTCCCAGGGCCCTGAGTAGGCATCCTGGAATACAAAAATTCTCCAGGAGGAACAGAATTTCTATTGGCACCCCTGTATGATCACATGAATTATACCACAACGTGGCAGAAGGTTTCTCATTCTGAAACGTTATTTTTTCTATAGTAACAGATTGCACTTGTATGGTGGACGCTCCACTTAAACGGATAAGGAGATGTAAGGAGATGTTTATATAACATTTATTTAAGGAGTCTCCAGTGCCAGCACTTCGTAACCATTGGAAAGTCTTCGGGACGGAAGAGTTTATGCTTTTGCGGCTTCTCGGAAACACGAAAAGCTGTGATTTTCTTAGTCTTAATAATGTAAAGAGAGAAAAAAACAGAGACTGGTGAGGGAATGACTCACGAGGGAAAAGTATGTATCATTGTTTAATCAATTATAATGTGTAATCATTGTCAAATTGCAATCCGACCTTTTAAGTTCAACTATTTCTTTATTTTAAAAAGGTACAAATGGGACGAAAATGGACGCCAAAATGTAAATATATGTGTCTTAGACGTAAGGAAGAGGGATAGTTGTGCTCAAATGAGATAAATATGTCCTCAGGTGTGTGAAGTCAATCCAAGGCAAAGGCTGTCTGCACACTGAATGAAAACCAGACCATAAAGGTCTATCAAAATATGTTTTTATTTTAGACTATGCAAATCTAAAATAATAAATATATATTTTGATGGACTTTAGTGTCTTAGACATATTCATTCATAATTGTGGTAGGTTACAGTTTACAGCCCATGTTCTGTGTATTCATTGTCCTGTGTATTTATTGTCCTGCACTCGTCTCACACTGTTGTGTATTTGCACCTTATGTAGTCTTGCGCACTGTTCTGTGTTCTGGAGAAACGACATTTCATTCCAGACAATAAAAACCCACTTGACTGGACTTGATCATTTATCTCGATCATATCATACGGTGCAGAAGGTGTCACAGCACTTGATTTGAATTATGATATGAATTGTGATATTTAGTAGCAGAAGCAAAACAGGAAAAAAAATCAATTTACATGAAAATAATAAGGAACAAAGGGAAAAGAACAATACCTAAAATAAAACAATGCCATCATCATAGCTAACATCCAATCAGCTCCTTGTTCCTATAGGAGTCATTTGGCAGCAGGACTACACTGCTTGCTCTTTTGGCAGGTTTAAATTTCTTTTTTTACGAAATATGTAGTTGTTGTACTAATGTTATCGGTGATAATCTTAGAAAATGTGCAATTTTTTCCCCCTGATATCACATTGTTACAAACAGTCTAGTTCATAACAGCGAATAATATTGAAGTCTGCACAACTCGGCTTTTATATTTTCTACTTCGTTCATTCCATATTTATTGAAAGTACTAAAGAGACCCTTTCACGCTCCTGAGGTTTTAATATTTGATGTTTTTCTCTCTTGAAGCACAAAGGCACATTTTTCATTCTAAGCCCTGCTTTCTACAACTGTGTGAACCGAGGAACGGCATAGCAACACACTGACTCATTAGCTCATTATATGTCAGTATTTTCCAAATGGCTCCACTATGACGTGGGAGCTACACCAGAAAAGGACTTCTGTAACAGATTTACCAAAATAAGGAACAGACTTTCTGTCTTCTCCTGCATGCTTTCGAAGGACAGAGCCGGTTTTTATTTCGTACGTCAGTGTCCTAGTAATCTCGCTCCAAATGTTCAGAAGCTGTTATAGTGCACTGAGTCTAATCATCGCCTGGATGCACCTGATTTTCTGTGGAATTGGGGAACGCCGTCACTGTGTTCAGATGTGAGAGCTGTTCTTAGAAAAGGGGCTTTTTTCCTTGCGTTGTCTTGGCAACATGTCGGTGCCCTTGGCGATATAGGTCAGCGGGCCAGCACAACAAGCGCCGCTCACAACATGAGAGAAGCAGCGCTGCAGTCATCACGCTTCATGAGGAACTCCCTGAGAGAAATAATTACTGTATTACAGTACAAAATAGCGTATGGTACTTATGGTACTTCAGGGTATTTATGCTTATTGTAGATTTTGTAGATTTTACTACAGTGCTTAAAGGAAAAATCCCCCTGATTTATTTTGCAATAGAATTGTATATAATGGTTTCCTAAATTACCCACAATTCCATTTGACGATCTGCCAGTAGTGGTACCAGATTAACCCCGCGTTAACGTTACTCTCAACGTGACTACGTCTAAACTGATATTTTTAGACGTCGAAGGATTCACTTTCTAAATATTACATTACAGACTTTGAAAATGTTGCGTCCCCAGCACGAGTTCTGCCAATGATGCAAGTGTTTAGAAGAAAAAAATTCACTTTAATCACTCTGCTTTAATCTAAATCTCTTGTTTTGTTTTGGGTTTTTTTTTTAAACGCTGCACTAATTCTCACATTGGCTCCCTCATACTGATTCCTCGAGTGATGACCTCAAAAGGAACTCGTTCAACTCAAAAGCTCACTTTGTGAAATAGGATAACGGAAATGAAGCGATTGTAGATTTGATTTTTCGGAGTATGTGAGTCATTATAGAGCGCTAAAGTACTGCTCGAGAGCACACAGCCAAATAAGACAGAACAAAACTAAAACGGGGGGAAAATGGCTGTTTATTGAATTTCCTCTGAGCGAGAGCACTTCATCCGAGCCGCATGGATGAAGACAGTGTGGATAAAAATGCCTTCTTCGAAGTAAAAGACTTGTTGCGTTGTGTTAAAATGAGTTCCCCTAGCACTTTTGTCTTTTACTCACAACATTTCAAACACTTTCTAATCATATATTTGTAAAGTCCTAAGGTGACTGTTTAGCATCAGACAGCTTCAAGGAGCTGAATAGTTAACTAAATCGAAACTTTAGAGGATGTAACAGCGAGAATGAGATGGAAAAATCTATCTGCTTCTGCGTACACTTTGTATTTATCACAGCAGTTATATGTGTATCGGAGGGTTTGCCTTGTACTTCATTTTCATTCATTTTTTTATGAAATAATTGCAAAAAACATTTGACTCTTTGTCTACACCGTAGCTTTTTTGTGCACCATTCTTGTTGGAACAAAAGCAGAAAATGCCCTTGCTATTAAATTATGCTCACAGAACTAAAGACGCAAAATTCATACAAATTCCTCGACTGAATCTGAAGTGAAATGTAAGTTATGTTTCGAATTCTGGACATACATTCCCTTCTACATGCTGTCCATGTCATGTAGAATTCCCAGGGACAGGGTTATTACTGAGGACGAAATTCCAGCCTTGTATAAGATTTTATTGTATATTCGCACCTTATGTGTGTGAGGTTTGTGTGTGTGTGTGAGGTTTGTGTGTAGGAGGGTATGTGAGGCTTCTTGCCAGCATCCAAACCGCAGGATAAATTTGGAGGGTTTTTTTTTTGTTCTTGCACAACAAAAGCACTGAGAGGGAAGTCTGGCCTGCAGCTCATACACACCATCAGAGACGTGTTGCAATTTCCTGTCATTTAGCAGCAATCCCAAATCACTGCTCTTCTTTTGAGACCAGTTGGGGAAAAAAAACAGTACATCTCATCAACTTTTACGTGGTTTTAGGAGATAAGAGCGGAGTTTCCTAAAAGCATCACAACACAAAGGTCATGGCTAAATGGTTAGCTGGTAGAGCGAGCAACACATCAAGCACTCTGTCTCTACCGGTAAATAATTATATGTTTTACAATGTTATTTGGAAACCAGACCCAGGCTTATAAAACTCTCATTACTCTTACACAACCTCAGCTTCTT